TTCACGACGACCTGGTTCGTGGTCGGCGACCACTGCGCGGAGGCCCCCGTGTTCTTCTTCAGCGAAGACCGGGACGGGATGCGGAGGCGCAAAACCAGGAGGCGGCTGTCCCCGCCCTTCTCCGCGCTCCAGGCGGACGCCGCCTGGCGGCGCCAGGGGCGGCCCGCCTCCTCCTCGAGGATCTGCACCGGGATGGGCGGCCCGGCGGGCCCGTGGAAGTCCCGCAGCCTCTCCGCCACCGTTCTCGCGTCCGGGACGGCGAGCTTGAACTGGACATCGAAGCTCACCGACGAGCCCGGGATGGCCGGTTTGACGCCCGCCGCCGCGCTGGACAGCCGCGTGACCAGGTCGCGGGCCATGGCGCGCGCATCCTCCGCCGCCTCCGCCGGAGCCGCCGCGGGCGCGCCCCCGGGCGCACCAGCCGGGGGGGGGCCGGCCTCGGGGGGGGCCAGGGGCGCCCCAGTCAGCGTGGTCAGGAACCTGTCCAGGGCCTGCTGCAGCGTGTAGCCCGCGATCTCGATCAGCTCGATGTCAGCGCGGACGGCCGCGACGAGCTCTTCCACGCCGTCGTCGTCAGGCTCCGCGTCACCCGTCACGGCCGGGGCCGCCGCTGGCGCGCCCGCCCCGCCCCGGGCGGCGGCGGCGGCAGGTGCCGCCTCCCGCGCGACCACAGCACCTCCGCGCAAATCCTCCTCGGGGGCGGCCGCCGGCCCCGCCCAGCCTGGGGGCGGGCGCAACGCCAACGGCGGCTGCGAGCCGCCCGCCGCGCGGTGACCGGGGGGCGGCTGCATGGCGGGCGGCGGTGCCCCGGCGCGGTCTGCCGCGTCGGCGGCCGCCGCCCCGTGCTGCGCGGCGCCGCCCGGCGTCGCGGCGGGCGCGGCCGGCGCCAGGGGCGCCGCGGGCGGCGTTTGCGGCGCCCCCGCCCAGCGCACCGCGCTGCCCACGGGGGCCCCCGGCGGCGGGCACATGGGGGCGCGCGCGCCCGGGGCCACCACTGCTCCCGGCGGGCCCTCGACCAAATGCCCGGGTGGAGGGGCGCCGCCCGCTCCAACGGCCGGGGGCGACGGCGGCGTCGTCAACGGCGCGGTCGGCTCCGGGACTGGCGCGGGGGCGCGCGCGGCCATGGCCGCGGCGACGGGGGGCGCCACCCCGCCCTTCGGCGGCCCCGATGGCGGCGGCGTCGCGCCCGCCCATCCTGCCGCGCCGCGCAGAGGATTGCCCCGCGCGCGCCCGGGGGGCCCCATGAGGCCGGCCGCCCATGGCATTCCCGCCCCGGCCAGCTGTCCCGCGGCCAACGCCATCGCCATCGGGCCGAACGGCGTCGGCCACTCCGCCGGCGGCGGCGACGGCCCCGCCGCCCAGGGCATGGCCAGTGGGACTGTCGCCGCCTGCGGGGTGCCTGCCTTCGGCGCACCCCCCGACGCCTTGCGCGTCGCGCCGTCGAACTCCTCACGGCCGGATTGACGGGGGCCAAGGCTGGCCGGGGCCTTCGCCAGGTGCGCCGCCCCCCCGCCGTGAGAGGCGGCACGGCGGCCCTCGCGGCTCGGCGAGGGGCCGCGGCGGCGGCCCACGGAGCGCGGGCGGCGCCGATCGCGGCTGCCGCTGCGGCGTCGGTCCCTGCGGCGGCGGTCCCGGCTCTCGCTGGACGCCCTCGGCGTGCGGGAACGGGTCTCCGGCTGGCGCGCCATCGCGCTGCGCTACTGCTGCGGTCGCGGGCGTCGGTGCTGCACCGAGTCTGGCCTGAGCCCAGGCACTGCGTTAGAAGGGGGGAACGACACCATCGCGGCGGCGACGGGGCAGACGCGCGACGAGCTGCGAGTGGGAGAACGGGGGAAGGGCGGGAGCGGACAAGGGCAGGGGGGGGAGAGCAGGCGATGCAGGTCGAGGATGGGGGCGGGAGCGCGGTCGGCGAGGGGGCAGTGGTCGAACGAAAATGCGGAACGAGAGGAGGCCGGCCAGGCGTGGGACGGGGGGGGGCGACCCGAGCCCCGCGGGGAGCGCCTGGCCCCCGACCGGGGCCCCGGGCCGGCCGAAGCCCGCGTCACTTGCGAAGCACTTCGCAGGCGAAGCGTTCGGCGCGTCACGGGGCTTCGGGCGCGCCCACGGCGCCGCCGGGCGAGGTCAAGAGGTCCTCGGGGCGCCTCGAGGGGTAGAGGATCGGGGAGAGTGGGTGACCTGTCCTACCGGTCCGCGCGCACGCACGCGTGCACATAAGCCCCGGCCGCAAGCCCGACCAGCCTCACCTTGTCCACGAGCTCCTCCCGCGACGGCGCCATCCCGAGCGCCCAGACGAGCAGGCCCTGGGGCATGCCCGGCCAGCGGGCCGTCACCTCCTCCCGGACGCCCGCGACGGCTGGGCACTCGACCAGGAGGTGGTGCAGGCCATGGGCACGACCCCCACACAGCGGGCACCCGGCGGCGACGACGGCGGGAGGGGGGGTGGCGAGGCCCCAGACCGCGCACGGTATGTCCAGCGTCAGGCGCGCCACGCACCATGCCCGGTGCAGGCGCCACATCGCGCGGCTCCACGGTGCCCATCGCATCTCCTGCGCCCACGGCTGCCGCAGCGGCAGCAGGTCGCCCAGCGAGACCACGCCGTCATCAGTGAGTTTGGCCACCTGCTCCGCGAACCACGCCGCTTCCCGCCGCTCCAGCACTGGGTCCACGACGGCGCGAGCCCAGGCCCGCGCCACGCGCTTCCGGTCCGCGGGGGAAGCGGCCGGCGGGACTGAGGGCCAGGCCTCAATGCCGATGTCCCTGGCGACCGCCTCCGCTGCCTCCCACCACGTGGCCCCGCAGGCCGCCGCCGCTGTGGCGGCCAGCACCGGCGCCACTGGGGAGTGCGCGTCCAGCAAGCCCATGCGCGCCCGCGCGGTGATGACACGGCGCGTGAGCTTCGTGCCCACGCGCGTCAGAAGCCGCGCCTCCAGGAAAGCCCGGACGTGGCCACCCGGGCCTAAGGACACCTGCGCGGCCGGCCCGACCAGGAGGAGCTTGGCAACGTCGTAGTAGGCGGCGTTGCAGCGGGCCATGACCGCGGCCCACCCCAGTGCGCAGGACGCGAGCAGCTCCGCCCCGTAGAGCGCCGACGCCTCCACGCGGGCGGCCAGCTGGGAGACCTGCATTGGCAGACCAAACCCGCGGTCCGCCAACGCCGACACAAGCTGGCGCGCACCCTGGCGAAGCCGCGCGCACACCCGGTCCAGGAGCTGCTGCAGGGACAGCTCCCCGTCCAGCGGCACGCCCAGGCAGGTCAGGGACTGCGCCGCGCGCGGTTGCAGCGAACCGATGCGGCCGCACTGGTCCACCGCCGGCGGCGGCTCGCCGACCGCCATCACGGCGGGCCCCTTGGCGGGTCCCCCTTGGAAAGCGTGCCTGTACTGCACGCAGAACTGGGTCAGGCCTCGGCAGACGTCGGCGACGCCCTGCTCCGTCGCCTGCAGGGCGAAAGAATCGTCCACGAATTGCAGCATCAGGAAGTCGAACGCGGCCCCCGGGGAGCCCGGGGCGCCCAGCGGGACTGGGGCCGCCGCGGAGCCGCAGCACTCCAACAGGCCACGGACCAAAGCGCCGAATAGGTGGACACCAGCACGTCGCCCCTGTCCAACGCCGAACTCGAGCAGGGCGAACGCGGGGGCCACCAGCGGCCCCAAGCGGATCCGCACCCGCTCGGCGCCCAGCGATGCATCAGCGGCGAGCCACCAACGGCCCTGCAGCCCTGCGGCGCGTAGCTGGATACGCACCGCTTGCCTCCACGCCAAATCGAAGCCATGCTGGAGGTCAGCCTGCACCACGAGCGTCCGCAGGCCCGCTGCCCGGCGCAGCTGGAGTGCCATGAGGACCCCCGCCGCCATCAGGACCGCGTCGAAGCGGCCGCCTGCCTGCCACTGCCCTGCAAAGCGCTCTAGCGGGTCACGAACCACTGCCAACCAGCACGCGTCAAAGAGGCATTCCAGCTCGTCCACGTATGAGACGGGGCGGATGTCCGAGAGATTGGTCACCAGCCGGGGGCCACGCTCGTCCGCTCGGATTGGAGAGGCCCGACGGCCGGTACCGCCGACCCTGATCGAGGGGGCTAGGAGGGGGAGGAGAAAGCGAAGAAGGAGGAGGAGGTGGAGGAAGAGGAGGAGGAGGAGGACGAGGAGGAGGAGGACAGGGACGAGCACGAGGAAGAGGACGAGGAGGAGGAGGAGGAGGAGGAGGGGAGGAGGGAGGAGGGGAGGAGGGGAGGGAGGGGGGAGGGAGGGAGGGAGGGAGGGAGAGAGGGAGGGAGGGGGAGGGAGGGAGGGAGGAGGGAGGGAGGAGGAGGGAGGAAGGGAGGAGGGAGGGAGGGAGGGAGAGGGAGGAGGGAGGGAGGGAGGAGGGAGGGAGGGAGGGAGGGAGGGAGGGAGGGAGGAGGGAGGAGGAGGAGGAGGAGGAGGAGGAGGAGGAGGAGGAGGAGGAGGAGTTGTCGTGGTCGTCGTCGTCTGCTGGCGTTGTCGGGGGGGGAGGGGGGCGGCCGCCCCCTTCTGCTTCTCGAGAGTTGAGGGGAGCTAGGGTAGAAACGGGGTATAGAGAGAGAGAGAGAGAGAGAGAGAACAGAGAGGAGTCTCGAGAAGTAAAGAGAGAACAAGAGAAAAGGTCAGAGGAGTCTCGAGGGGAGAGGGAGAGAGAGAGAGAGAGAGAGAGAGAGAGAAAAAACGAGAGGAAAAACAAGAGAGACAACAAGAGAGAGAGAGAGAGAGAGAGAAATATAGATCGGCGGCGAGCGAGGGGGGAAGTGTGATACGGAGAAGGCCCGAGGTTCTACGCGCCTTCGGTGGAGGCTCAGAAAAATCTTCTCGGAAGGCCGGGGGACTTCCGAGCCTTCCGAGAAGGCCCGCCCTCTCTCATTTCCCCCCGGGCTGGCCGCCGAGAGAGAGAGAGAGAGAGAGATGGCGTGAGAGAGATGTGTCAGAGGGATATATCAGAGCAGAGCGGAGGGACGTCCACTGCAAAGCTCTGCCCAAGGGGGGGCGCAG